CTCTGACCAATACCTCCTCCAACCCCGCAGTCCCAGCCCTTCCGGCTCACTCCCAGTTACATACTGGGCATGACGTGCTGTGGTATGGAATACCTCTTTGGTCAGTTTGGGTCAGGTGTCCTGTCTCTGCTTCCTCCCGGCTTCCCCTCCTCCCTGGCAGAGCATGAGGCCCACAGAGTCCTTGGCCAAACCAAAACATCCTTGTTATCAGCTGTGTTCCCAGGCTGAAAGTCAAAACACTGCACTGCACCAGCTAGCAAGAAGGAGCAAAATGGCTGCTACTGCTGAACCCAGGACAGAAGCACAGTCTAAACATGGTTGTGTGCTTGATCATCTCCTCAGCTCAAGCCATGGTGCTTGTCTTCAGCACCTGCAAAGCTGTTCTGGCTGGCACAGGGGCTTCCCTTGTGCCCATCACCTGCCACAAGTGAGAGTAAAATGCAATTGATTTCGGGTGTCATGGCACATTTGGCACAGGTGTCATCAGGACCACAGCAGACAGATGCTGGGTCAGTGCCACTGTGACCTACATGTTACAGGCAGCTGAGGGGAGATTTTAAATTCTTTTTTACCAAAACTTTCTGGACATCAGTGGAAAGCAATAGAAGTCCTGTTGCAGTAAGGCTTGAGGAGTGAATGCCAGAAATAAATGGCAATGGGCAGTTGAGCAGCCCTGTGCTTGGTGAGAAGGCAAGTCCCTTTTTGCCAGGCTGGGCTCTGCTCACATTGGTTTTGCTGGGAGCAGGGCTAGAACTGTGTTATCAGGGCCACCATTTGCACAGCTGGCTCCTCAGCAATTAGAAACACAAAATCATAGGATGGTTTGGGTTGGAAGGGACCTTAGAGATCATCTCGTTCCAACCCTCCTGCTTGACCAGGTTGCTCAAACCTTCCACTTGACCAGGTTGCTCAAAGCCCCATCCTACCTGGCCTTGAACACTGCCAGGGATGGGGCAGCCACAGCTTCTTTGGGCAACCTGTTCCAGTGCCTCACCACCCTCACAGTAAAGACTTCTTCCTAATATCTACCCTAAATTCCCCCATTTAAGTTATGGTTTACAATTAGATACTGTGTGGAAAAGAAAAAAAGAATTAATTCTAAGTAGGAAGGTGTGCTTTAGAGGTATGAGTACAGTTGTTTCACTTTTGAGGAGGGGGGAAGAAGTTTACTTGAGTTTATTTTTGTCAGGAACTCCCTGTCCTCAGCATATGCTCTTTTCAAATGTAAACTTTCCTGGGCTTGCTGAACTTCATTTAATAACTCTTCTGACAATTTTTTTTTCACCTGTAATTAATTTCAAAATGCCTGGGAATCACTGGAGGATTTATGGAAATAATAATTAAAAAAAAACATCATTTGGAGGTGGTATGATTTCTCTCTGGTTTTGTTTCTTCCAAGGAAGCCTCCAGCCAGCCTTGTTTTCATTCACAGCAGAGTTGTATGGTGCATCTGAAGCTTAGCAAAGCCGAGCACCTCCCCCTTTTCTCCTCTCCTTCCCTCCTTGAAAAGAGATAGCCCGGGTTTAAAAGTTGATTTTTAGCTTTGATTGTGCGTATGTGCTATATGAATGCTAAGCAGCCTTCACAATGCATCCTTATGATGCACCCAGAAAGGCAGACACAGGCTGTGAGGTCTCCCTGGTTTCCCATCATTCATATAGCTTCAGTGTAGCTTGATATGGACGTGTTTTATTTATGAGTGAGCTCTAGGGTGAATATAGGTGTCTCACGGGCAGTAGCTGAGGGACTGAATGGCCTGAGCCATGACACTTGTAAATCTGCCACAGCTGGAGCTATTTTCTGCTGTGGAGGAGAGCTACTTTCCCTAACACAGGTGTAGGCTGGCAAAGGAGGAGGCTCCTGAGAGGCAGGAGGGGCCTGGCATGGATGTGTCCTGCCTGGACAATGGGTGTAGCTTTGCTTCTTGGGGCAGGTTCCTCTCCCCTGCCTCCAGCCTATCCTCCCATACAGGAGCATGAGTAGCAACACCCCAAAGCCAAGGGAGAGGTTTCTCTTACCTGCAGCCTTGCTGGGGTTCAAGCAGCTGGGGCTGGGATGCTGCTGTTACATCACTGGTGTCTGCGTTGACAGAGCGAGAGCCAGAAAAGTGGATGGTGAGAAAGCACTAGCATGAATACAGCCTCTTCTCCTCCATTTGTGCTTAGTCTTCCAGGTTCACCTCATGCAGTATTAACACATTAAATCCCTTGGCTCTTTTAGGACATCCATCTGATAGTGTGAGCAACAATTCCCTCCAGCTCAGAAGAAGGCTGGATGTGTTAGCTCTGCAAAATATAGGTGTGGCTTTGTTCCTCTTTTTAAATCAATCCTTTCCTCCTGGATGAGGTGGCATGTACTTCTGACACCCACGCAGCTGCGGATGCTGGTGTGTATTTTCACAGCCTAACAGAAGGCTGCAAACAGCCACAAGACTGGAGGAGAAGGGCACCTGGGCTCGCCTGGGTATTTTTAGCCTTGCTACCCTCTTTCTGTGCTCTGGCTGATAACCAGAGATAAGGGAGGAAGCCACAGGTAGGAGCTGTAGTCACCTTCAGTTTTTGCACTGGCTTTGAGGGTGATAAGTTGTGCTCTTGCAAAGGGAACCAACTGATAAAACCCAGCAGGGCGGCTAGGAGGCCGAGTCTTGCCAGAAAAGCCACACTGCCATCCCACCCATGCAGTGGCTGCAAGGGTGGTTCCCTGGCATGCTGGCAGCCCTGCTGCTCTTCCCGCTGGGATGGGGCTAGGGGAACACTATATTCACACTGGAGATGTGAGAAGCATCAGAGGACATGGGACAACTACTCAGGAATAAGCAACCGTACCAGACAACCAGAAACCATACCAGAGAAACATCAGTTTAAACCCAGGTGTTTAACGTTACAATCTGCTCTGAGAGCTTGGTGAAGGTTCAGGGAAGGTGCCTGTTTTTACGGCTGGAGAAAAAGAGGTAGAGCATCTGTTGTGAAGAGACTAGGAGCCCTTCCAAGGGATGTAGATGATGGTTCTGTGACCTCTCAGGTGAGGTGCGAGGCTTCTGCAGGGGCAGATGAGACCTTTGTGAAACTGGGAATGGAACCTCTCATCTCTTCCCTTCAAAAGTCCACTTGCATCACCCAGGCCTTCAGGAAGGGTTTCTGCTGGCCTGTGGGGACCTCTAGCGTGGGATTCGGCTTTGCACAGGCCTCCCCGGTGGCATCGTTTAGGGCTGGTTAAGAAAACCGGGCTGCAGGGGAAAATGAAGATGGGCCGTAAGGTTTTTCTCTTGTCACTCGCTGTGAAACAGGCTCCAGGTGTGTTCACGGTAGGTGGCAAGGCTGTCCCTCGCTTCTAGCCGACCACTGCTCTTGGCTGGGCTTCCCTAGCTGATTTTACACACAGAGCTGTGCTTTGTACCTTCTTGCAGCCCTTCCAGATTTAACCTGCAACTCCACCTGTGGACCAGCCCTACTGCTTTTGTACCACTGGTTATTTCCCTTGAAAATGCAGGTAACAATGCAACCATCTGTTCCATAGTGCCAGAAGAAGTGACCGGTGCTAACAGCTCTGTGTTCAGACGCAGTCCTGACTCCACCCCAATGTTTTATAAGACGCTTTCCCAACTTGCCTGTCCCCAGGGGACCTGCTTCTGGACACGGGTGTATGGGCATCAGCTGCATCACCAGCCTGTTACCCTCTCTCTGTAGTCCTCCCTCTACTGCTCTCCTTCCCCACTGTCTATTCGGTGGTCTTTCTCAGGTGATTTCCAGCTGGTGGCTGGAGGAGGAAGGTCTCTATGTGTACGTGGGTACATCAGCATCCCCTGCTGCACATCAGAGATCCTCACCAGGGTAGAGACCCATGAGCCATAGGGGATGCCTGATTTTGGAAAGAGCTGTGGCAGCTCTCATTGCTGTCTCAGGAGGCTGCAACCAAGATGTTTTGCAAGAAAGCTTACACGAAAACTAGCGATGTAGTCAGAAAATCATTACATGCTTTTTCCTGTTTACATGGTTTTGTGCAACACACTTTCTCTTGCTCCCATTTGCTCTCCAAAATGCATCTTCCTTCCTTTTTTCACTCCCCTCCACCACCTTCTATATCATTTTCCTGTAGCTACAATTACTGATGTGGGATGGTTTTACTTTTTCTCCCCCTTTCTTTGCCACATAGGGAGGGTGCCACTATTTTCCACTTGTCTAGCTCTGAAAGTAAGGATGATTAAGACATTCAGCCATCAAGCCTCCCTTTGGACAGATTGTTCTTGAGGCTTTTCTGCAATTTACTTTCAGGAAATATGCATGCAGCAGGTAGCTGGTTTTGAACACCAGAAGTCACCTGAGTCTTCTGTAGCTGTGGGTCAATGGGCTCTTCAGTGCTACGAGAGGGGAAAGAACAGAGTCAAAATGTCCGTGGACAGTGAAGGTCTCCTGAGAAGGGGGTTATATTTATGTATTGACATTTTCCTGAATAAAATGCTACCAACGGGATTTTTATCTATCATCTGCAAATAAAAATTTTAGTAGGGTCTCAGCCAAAGGTTATTGCCATGTGGTGATTTCTAAACAGAGAGGGAATACTTTCATGCAGATCCTGCTTGGGGGTTTTGATCTCTTTTTTAAACAACAGGTTGGGGCTGAGTTTTTTTTTTTCTAATGTTTTCCTAAACTTTTTCCCAAGATAGTATTTAAACAGATTAAAGGAAAAAAAAAAAAAAAGTTAGTGACAGTGTTCATTAAAGCAAAACTGCCTCCCGGTGACAGTGCCAAAAGGAGCATTTCAATACTGATTCACGACTGAAGAGTTTCAGAAATTGTTTTAAGAACCATTGCTCCAAACTAAATGAAAGGCTGATTTTTCTTATGCTTTTCCTCCTTTCCCAGCTGGCTACATGTTGGAGCTGATAGCAGCCCACCAAAAGCCCAGGCAGAAGGCAGCTGCTCTAACCAGGATTTAACTAGTCGGGCAGGAGGAAGTGCAGCAGCACGTGGTGGGGACTACACTTCCCGAGAGGCCCTGCTGTGGCCATGCCTCCCTTTGGGGAAACCCAGGCTTTATCAAGGGCTGGAGGGACGACTCTGGGGACAAGCAGCCATGGGACTGAGATGCGGGACGAAGGCCACCAAGTGCCAGCTGCTGGTGACCAGCCTCTGTGTCATGGTGAGCAGGCAGGTTTGGGGCGATCTCTGCAGAACTGAGGTGAACCATTGCTTTTCCTGTCCCTGGTCAGGGAGAGTCAGGCTTTCCCATGCTGTTTTTCACGGGTGGAGGGCAAGCAAAGCTAACTGCCCGAGTTATCGTTGCGCCCAGCACGGTTATCGCTGGCTGCCATTATCGTGGTCCCTACCCCCCCCTTTCCCCCGCTGATAGACTTCTGGTTTCTCACGGCTGTCGTGCCGCTGCAGCTTTCACAAGCCAGTGGCCACCTCGAAGGAGAAAGCAAAGGTCGCTGCTGGCAGAATGGGTGGTCTTCAGCAAAAAGGTATTTGCTCCTGTCTCCCTGGGGCAAAAGAGGGAGGATGGACCTGCTGCAGTCACACTTGCTGCTGGGAGGATCGTAAGCTGCAGGTGGAATTGGCCAGGATATGAAACCACAAGGCTTCAGTGGAGGTATATGTGAGAGGTCTGTGGGTCTGTACTACAAAGTGAAAGCAATTCTAGGGATCCTTTTTATCAGCTTTTGAAGCAAGTTCAAGGGGAGCTTCTCAACATTTGCTGTTACAGCTGATGTGAGACAGTGGAAACTGAGAAATGCTTCTCCTGGATGTTGAGTTGTGTGTGTTTGTTGACTTTTCACTTCATCAAAAGGCTTAAAAAAATAATAAAAAGAAAAACAAGCTTAAAGAAAAAAATAATCTGTATTTAGTTCAAAGAGGGTTGGTGGCTTGGAAAGAGTGTAATTTAAAGGTAATAGTTTATTTTGGGCCATACATGAAATGTAGTTTGTCCAAATTTCAAGTCTGTTGGCTGTAGTGACTATACATCATTCTCTCTTCCAAATAAAAAATATGTCATTTGGAGGAAATCAAAGGAGGATTGCTACCAAGCATGTTCGGAGGAGATATTAAGGCACAGCTGCCCTGGATAGCTAGGATCACATTATTGCGGTTGGGAGGATTTTAGAGTGTTGTTTCTCAGATATCTAAGGTAACCGGTGTTGCACTTGGCGTTTTGCTGGGTGTGGGTTGAGATATGCAATAATGCGCAGCATGGAGGATGAGTGGCTGCCAAAAATTAAGTTATTTATAAGGAGAAAATGCTAAATTTTTGATTTATTTAGTCTCCAAAGCTGTAAGTCTCCAGCAAAAGCTACTAGAAAAGGTCATACAGAGGGGATTATGTTGACACCGGACTCTCATATCTGACACAGGGATAGCTGCCTTGTGTTTTCGTATTGTAAAAGCAAAAAATAATGAAAGCTTATCTTAGGAGCTAGGAGTGGCCTCAAATCTTGTATTTTCCAGGTTCATTACACTAAAGTTGGAGGTGTTTTTAACTGTGCTGCTGTTGGTGCCTCCTTCTCAGCTCTGCCACTGGTTGTGCTGCAAGGCACATGTGCCATCAGAAGGCAGGTGCATCAGAAATGTTCCCTCTCTATTGCCTGGACCAGCTCTGGGCAACACAAAGGGTAACATGCTGGTGGTTACCCTGTGCCTTAGTCATGCCAGTGCTCTCAGGGATGGGACAGAAACATGAGTGGCCCAGCACCACATTGTGGAGACAAAAGCCAGCACAGATTACTTAAGAGTACTACAAGACTCAGCTTTTTGCTGAGTATGTGGTGCGTTTTACAAATACACAAATATGTATATACAAAATATTGTATATTTTACAATAGGAAATAACAGCTAACAGCAGGCAATGGGACTAGCATTGCAAAGAACAATGCAGAGAACATCACCTCTGCCCAAAAGCACTATTGAAGCTGGCAGCCCTTAAAACTGCATGTGCATACTCTGCAGAGCCGATGAGACTGCACAAGTGTGCTGCAAGAACATCAATCCTCTGGGTTTTCTTCACATGGTGGGAATTTCATTCAATGACACTGGCCAAGAGACTGTGGGCTGTGCAGTGTCACGTGCACTCATTATGCAACAGATAAAATGTGCTTTAGTATGTTTAAGTGTCTGGGGCTTGTCCTTTTATGTGTATTTTGGGGTACATTTGGATGATCAGGCTTCCTGAATCTGCATGGAGCCCAGGAGTATCCAGATACACCTCACAGTAGGAACTGCTGCCTGTAAATCCTTTCCTAAAAACCTTCTTTTCCAGCTGCTGGGGTTGTCCATTGCCACGCTGAGCACAGTCACCCACTATGGGCCACATTTCACCCTCATCAGAGACATCTCCCTGGAGAGCAACTCTTACAGAGTCATCCACCACACAGGTATGTCACGGTCACATCCCAGTAAGACCTTTGGTAAACATGGGAGCTGAAAGATCCCCTAAGGCAGATTAAGGAAATGCAGAGGTATCACAGAAAGAGGCAGAGGCTGCCTTTTGGAGGATGCATCAGGGCTGACACAGTCCCACAGGCACTTTTTTTCTTTATCAGATCTGTACACCTGGCACCAAAAGTGCTGCTGCATTTGCTCCTGTCCCTCTATTCATTGTCTCCCCAGCTTTCCAATGTGCTGCAGTGAAAGCTCAGGGGGAGCTCAGCCACAGATGGACCTAAAGGTGCTGTGGGGCTGGAAGGGCCCTGGGGACATGGGGAGGGGGACTCTTACAGGAGTTGAAGTAGAGCTGAAGATTGAAGCTGGGAGCCAAAATGCATGGGAAAACCTGTTTTTGTTTTGAGGAAATGTAGGGGGTTTTCCCTACAGAAGGGAGAAATATGAATTGAGTCTCGGGTACAAGGCTAGAGCAAAGAAATGAGAACAGCCCAGATGCTAAAATGCCCTGCTCGTCTCTGCTGCACTTGCATCTGCTGCTTTTCCTGAGCTGTACTGTGGGCTTAAACATATATGGGCATATACCCTCTCTAGATCCTGGTTTTCAATTTCAGTTTAACATGGCAGGTGTTAAAAAAACAGTGTTAGCCCAAAGCTTAGGTATAGCCTTCCCCCTTCCCTACACATAGCAGATTATATAGACTGGCACTTAATGCAGCCTCACAGGTTCTCTCTTCCTGGCTACCCCTCTCTAGCAATGCTTCCACTTGCTTTGCTTGCAAGCACTAATTCTTTGCAGTTAGCTCTGAGTGAGGGTTGCAAAGCCCTCTGCAGTGCTGTGGCCCCTGGGGTACCAGCTGTGACCCTGCCTTAGCAGGGAGGAAACCAGAGGGCAAGTGTTGCACCAGATTAGCAGCACACAAAGTCCTGATAGGGTCCATGGGACAGCTGCTGCACAGCAGCACCCCACATTCAGGGGATCCTTATCACAGTTCTGAAATAATTGACAGCTTGTGGTCTGTTGGGTGGACCAACACCCTTTTAGGGTGCTTCCCTCTGCTGAAGCTGTGGGAACTGCTCAGGGGTTTGCAGCCCTGCTAGGCAACTACAGCACACACAGATGGGGGGCACTGAATAAACCAGAAAACATTCCAGTTCTGCAGCCTGGTCCCCTTGGACCAGCTCCCCAACATTCACTTTCTGCTCCCTCCTTGGGTGAAAGCATTGGACAAGGTCTCTCTTAGCCCTGAAGTCTTTGTGTCTGACCACAGCTCCCACGTCTGACTTCCTTCCAGCTTTCTACTTTGGGATCTGCATCAGCATGACCCTGATCCTCGCAGCCCTGCTGGGCTCTGTCGCCATGGTGCGGGAATCGCAAAGCCTCACTGCCATGGTGCGTATCGAGTGGGGCTTTTTGTAACCTTGGGCTGGTACCGTTAAAATGTGGGGGGTTAAAATGGGGTTCTGCCAGGGAGTGTGCACGCCTGAGGAAGGACATCCTATTGCTCCACCCTGTGCTGCAAGGGCGCGCTTCTGTAAAAGGCATGACCTCTTCCAGCTGAGGATTGCATCCTTCTGTTCCTTGTTTCTTTTGCCAAGATGCATGTATGCAGCTTTCAGAGCAGGGTCAAAGGCATGTGCTTCTCTGCCAAAGCAATTGCAGTGATGATGATTCCCACTGTATTTTCTTTCTCAGCAACTCAACACGTGGCTTGTGTGGGGAAACCTTAACAATGCCATTTTGAGTACCAAGTTGTTCCTCTGATTTGTGACATCAAAGTCAGCTTCCCTCCTTCCTCCCTCCACCAGTGGGTGGTGTGAGGCATACAGAGCATGGCAGCAGGGACAGGGGCTTTGGGCTGGACCCTCAGTTTCAGCCTCAAAGGAGAAGGTGAAGGGGTACCAAAAGAACTGAAATGGCACCTTTCTGTTCTCCGTCATCCACAGAGTGCCTGTTTGGGCCTGGACCATGCCAGGATTAGTGAGCTCAGCTCCATTTAAAAACACAGCTTGCACACAGGGCTTGGTCTGAATGGAACAGCTTCCAGCCTCAGGGCTGGAGGGATGAGCAGAAAAGCACTGCTCACTGCATGTTTGCCCATACTACGTGAAAGGCAGGAGTTAACAGGTAGGTTGCTGTGCATGAAGCCATACTTAATATAAAATAATTGCACTGCTGTCATACATAAACTAGCTTTGGGGAGATTTATTTAATCTATCTAATTGGGAAAAATTATACTGATGGCAGAAATGAAAAGCTGGCAACTTAAAACTTGGTGCAAGGCAGCTACTGAAGTTAATGTTCTCACCTTCTCAATATGCAGTCTTCCTTTCTCTGTTTGAGATGTTCAAAGGGGCCTGAGTGACACAGTTCCCATGAATATGGCTAGCAGAGTATATATAATTTCCCCCTATTTTGCTGACATATACTTTAACGTCTGCCTGCAATTACCACATCTAAAACAACAGATGAGTATGCATGGGCCAGTGAAGATTGTCACAGCTGCCTGAAAATACAGTTGAACTTCTCTATAATGTTTATTTGCTTGCCTTATTCTCTGTGTGGTATGGTTTGGGACATGCCACTATGTAAAACATGCTGTTAAAGTTATAGCTGTTTCCTGAACAGTTAAATTAAAACATAGCAGCAAACTCCACAGTTGCTGTCCTCTTGAGGGCACCTGATGCTTCTTTCCCTTCCCCCTGCCATGGGGATGAGGACCCGAATGTCCTTTACTCCAGATACCCATCGACTCCCCCAGACTGACTGGTTTGGTGTAACACAGCCAAGAAACCTCCGGCTGGCAGAACTGCCAACCTAGCCATTTACTTTTGTGCTTCCTGGCATGTCCTGTTCGCTTTGCTTTAGCATGCACATTTTGCATCCTTTGGGAGAGTTGGCTGTCTTCATTTTGGATGTCTGATGATGATACCATTGCAGTGAGGACACAACATCATTGCCTTGTGGGAAGAGGAGGAAAGTGCAAGTGCTTTCCCGCGGCCATGGCAATGAGGCATCCCACTCTGCCCGCAGTAGGGGATAATGGGATGCCCCTTGGTTGCTTTTAAGCTCCGTTTCAGCCGTCTTCGACAGCGTGAGGGTCCCCAGTGCGAGTGAAGATGGCAGGGCCCAGTGCCAAGGCAGCGGTGCCAGCCCGCTTCCGGCGAAGGGGGCCCTGCACCACCGCGTTTCCCGGGAGCTGCCGGCCGGCTGCAGCTCCGGCTCCGCCGCTGGAGGGGGCCGCGGCCCCGCCGAGCTCCGCTGTCCCCGCCCCGCGCTTGGCACCTGAAGATGGCGGGAAAACGCAGGGAGGAGGGTTGCTACAGGCAGTGCGGCGGTGGCAGAGTGTCCCCAGCTCTCCAGAATCTAGCAGGGGACCTGGCAGATACCAGGTCACCAGCAACCTTATTCTCTCCTCCTGTTCAAACTGCTCATCAGCATCGTAAATAGGGGAGCTTTGCTTATTCCTTTAAATTGCAAGCCGTCTACTGCCGTTGTCTTACAGCAAGGGCCAGCCCATTGCTCGTTTTCCCACAAGGTCCTATCCCCTCCCAAGGCTCGTGTTTAATCTCTGATCTGGAAGCAAGACATGCAGGCAGGGAGAGCCAGCTCGATGGCTGTGGTGAGATGTAATCACAGGCAGGAGTGGGGTTCAGCCCTGGGGGGGCTCTGAAACTTGCCGTTGGTGTCACAGCCTGCCCTGTTGATCCCCACTGGGCTGTAGCTCACAGAAGTAATTGCCACCCCCAGCCTGTAGCTTTTTTCCCACTTAATAGGATTTTTAACCTTCCCCCACTTGATTGTAAAGGATTTTCCCTCTCCTGCAAAGTGTGTGTCTTAGAATCATAGAATCGTTAGGGTTGGAAAGGACCTTAAGATCATCTAGTTCCTATCCCCCTGCCATGGGCAGGGAGACCTTACGCTAAATCATATCACTCGAGGCCTTGTCCAGCCTGGTCTTGAACGCTGCCAGGGATGGAGCATTCACAACCTCCCTGGGCAACCCATTCCAGTGCCTCACCACCCTAACAGGAAAGAATTTCCTTCTTATATCCAATCTAAACTTCCCCTGTTTAAGTTTTAACCCATTACTCCTTGTCCTGTCACTACAGTCCCTAATGAAGAGTCTCTCCCCAGCATCCTTACAGGCCCCCTTCAGATACTGGAAGGCTGCTATGAGGTCTCCACGCAGCCTTCTCTTCTCCAGACTGAACAGCCCCAACTTCCTCAGCCTGTCTTCATTCAGGAGGTGCTCCAGTCCCCTGATCATCCTCGTGGCCCTTCTCTGGACTTGTTCCAACAGTTCCATGTCCTTTTTATGTTGAGGACACCAGAACTGCACACAATACTCCAGGTGAGGTCTCACAAGAGCAGAGTAGAGGGGCAGGATCACCTTTGACCTGCTGGTCATGCTCCTTTTGAAGCAGCCCAGGATATGGTTGGCTTTCTGGGCTGCAGGCACACACTGCCTGCTCATGTTCATTTTCTCATCCACCAACACCCCCAAGTCCTTCTCCGCAGGGCTGCTCTGAATCTCTTCTCTGCCCAACCTGTAGCTGTGCCTGGGATTGCTCTGGCCCAGGTGTAGGACCTTGCACTTGGCATGGTTAAACTTCATGAGGTTGGCATCAGCCCACCTCACAAGCGTGTCAAGGTCTCTCTGGATGGCATTTCTTCCCTCCAGCATATCAACCGAACCACACAGCTTGGTGTCATCAGCAAACTTGCTGAGGGCGCACTCAATCCCATTGTCCATGTCAGCGACGAAGATGTTAAACAAGACTGGTCCCAACACCAATCCCTGAGGGACGCCACTCGTTACTGGTCTCCAGCTGGACATTGAGCCATTGACCACAACTCTTTGGTTGTGCGGCCATCCAGCCAGTTCTTTATCCATCGAGTGGTCCATCCATCAAATTGATGTCGCTCCAATTTAGAGACAAGGATGTCATGTGGGACAGTGTTGAACGCTTTACACAAGTCCAGGTAGATGACATCAACTGCTCTACCCCTGTCCATCAGTTCTGTAGCCCCATCATAGAAGGCCACCAAATTGGTCAGGCAGGATTTCCCCTTAGTGAAGCCATGCTGGCTGTCACCAAGCACCTTGTTGATTTTCATGTGCCTTAGCATGCCTTCCAGGAGAATCTGCTCCAAGATTTTGCCAGGCACAGAGGTGAGATTGACTGGTCTGTAATTCCCCGGGTCATCCATTTTCGCCTTCTTGAAAATGGGGGTTATATTTCCCTTTTTCCAGTCATTGGGAACTTCACCTGACTGCCATGATTTCTCAAATATGATGGCCAGCGGATTCGCAACTTCATTCGCCAGCTCCTGCAGGACCCACAGATGGATTTCATCAGGACCCATGGACTTGTGCACGTTCAGATTTTTAAGATGGTCTCGAAACCAGATCCTCTCCTACAGTGGGCCCAGGGTCTTCATTCTCACAGTCCCTGCATCTGCCTTCCAAGACTTGGGTGGTTTGGTCAGAGCCTTTGCCAGTGAAGACCGAACCAAAGAAGTCATTCAGAACCTCAGCCTTCTTCAAATCCTGTGTAGCCAGTTCTCACGAGAGCTTCCTGAGGGGGCATACTTTCTCCCTAGTCTGTTTTTTATTTGCTATGTACCTGTAGAATCCCTTCCTGTTATCTTTAATACCTCTAGCTAAGTTTAATTCTAACTGGGCCTCTCTTGTGTAGAAGACCATTTAATTCAGTCTTTAATCAAGGAGAGGAGACACCAGTGTATCGGTGCCTGACATCTGTGGCTGTATAGGAAACCAAGCTGCGCTCTGGGGAAGCCTGCATAGCTGTGGGTAATCCACCACAACGCCGCTTGGTAAACCAGCTACCCTGGGGAGACACCAGCAAGGATGCAAATGGGCTTAGAGGAGCATTGCCCTGGTCACTGACCTGTTGGGTTGATCCCACCTCCTCCTTGTGTCTCAATTTCCCTACTGGCCTTTTTTCCCCCCCCTTCTATTTAAATTATAAATGCTCACCCTGCCTGCCTATCTGAAGGTTTGTGACTATGCAAAGGAGGGGCCTCAGTCTTTGCAGGCCTTAATGGTGCTGTCCTAATAACAACAGTTGGGTGCACAGTGGTTGGAAACCAGAACAGGTCAAACTGACTAAAGCACTCATATTTTAGGAGCTTGTCTTGCTGCTGCATTAGCAGCACCAACAGACCAGACGGACACTGCTGCGCATTCACTGATGCTTGTGAGGTTTCTAGAGAGTAACTGAGAACTTAAGGATAAAAATTATGTTCTAAAACCTGCATATTATCGCTAAAGCTCCTCTTAGGGAGAGTGGTGACAGGCTTATTGACTGTCCTCAAGTTCTGGCAAACCCTGCTGTTTAGTGATCCATGGTCCATCATGTAGTCAGTCCTGAATGTAAACATCCTGCAGCTCTCAGGGCCCCTGAAGGCCATGTTGCTATTGAAGGGGAGGAGAAGGAAGGAAAACTGCAGTTTTGCTAGTACTGCTTGTACAAAGAAAAGACTCTGCCTCCAGTGGGGTTTAAGGAACAGTGTGCTGTTATCTGGTCAGATGGAGACAGGGGAGATAAAAAAAAAACAGGGAGCAACTAGAATATCCCTATAAGAATAAAATTCTTATACCTGAAGTTTCCAGCCTAAAACCCCCTCTGTACAGCAAAATTCATGTTCAGGATGGAGTAGCTATTCCACATACCAGGTCAAAATAATTTCTGTGGCAAAAAGGCCTTAATGAATGCCTGATAGAGCCGAGTTTTTCACCCAGAATGATGTCAGTAGGGCCAGCGTACAGCACAAGCTGTTTGCTTTACTGTGCCCAGGTGTATCATTGCAGACAAGTGTGTAGAGAGTCCTTAATAACACTGCAGCTCACTTCAGCATCTTGCTTGCACAATGAATATGTCTCGTGTGCAACCCCTCTTGGTTCAGCACTCCCAAGCAAGGCATCCAGTGGTCCAGTGGAAGCAGGCATAGGCAGAGACAATGTGTCTAGCTAGAGCTGAAAACAGATTCCTCTTTTGGACTGTCTCATGTTTGCTGCATGGAAAGGCAAAACCAGTGTGTGTTCTTAGATGAACTGGGTCAGGAAGAGAGGGATACAACCGGATGGGTGCGATCTGAAATTAGCTCCCATCTTCCTTGACCCTGGGCTGTGAAGTCTGGCAGGGAGCTGACCCTTGCAGTGGCCACAGCAGCTGGAGCTGAACAGAACACAACACAAGTCGGCTCCTTCCCTGGGAGGGCAGGGGTCTGGTAGAGCTGCTGAACCCAGTCTGAGATTAAGGGACCCCCTTAACTGTCAGGGCAGCTCCAGAAAGGTGAATTAAAAGATACACCAACCAACAGAGAAGGCTGTGCATTCTGTCAAGTCTCTCAAAGACAAATTGTTTCTTGTAGCAAGGATGGAAACAAGGTCATCCATAAAAGAATAATTGATGCCTGGCTGGTGACAGCCCTCCACAGGGTGATGTGGCTGCCTCCTGCAAAGGGAACAAGCAGCAGTCTGCAGCCAGCTCTGAGGAGCTCCAGGAGTCTGGGAGATGGTGAACCAGCCTTGACCCTTCCACATTTTGTATGCGAACTATGCGATGCCTTTTCCTTTTTTCTTTTGAATGTCTTCTAATGTAATTAGAAAGTTGCTTTTACAAAAGCCTTTAGGCTGGGAGGAGAAAAAGCAGCCTATAATTCATTTATAAGATGTTCTTGGAGACGTGTAATTGCTCTGCACTGGCTGGTTGGAGCAGGTTCCCAAGGGGCTGCCTCTTGGTATTCCCAGAGAAGCTAGACAGAAATAAAGGGAGAGCTGATGCTGGAGGTGAAGGACTGAGGTGTGGGGTGGAGCTGAGGAAGGGAAGATGAGAAGGGAGATCTTAATCTGCTGGGGTTTTGGCCCCAGAGAGATGTTGTAAGAGCTGATGGGGGAAGGAAGGGAAAGCATGGGCAGAAAACTGGGTGGTGCCACTGACACACTTCTCAGTGTTCTCAGTCTCCAGGTTCATGGTGGGTCCCCTCAATTAAACACTTACTGGAATGATGTGTGTAAGAGCTTTCATATTGCTGTCAGTGCTGCTTTTTTTCTGCTATTGTTTTCTCTCTTTTTTTTTTTTCTTGTCTTTGAGCTTGATTTTGGTGAAAACATTGACTTCTTATGCCTTTTGTTTGGGGTGAGATTGCAGGAAGAGGTGCAAAATGCAGGGTATGGTCCTAGTGAGGAGCAACCTGAAATGCTCCTGCAGTCTCACCTCCTCCATTCAGTTTGTGCTGTACCTTCAGAGGTTAAACCACCTACCTTGGCTGGGTTTGGGCTTGGTTGTGACCTGCTTTGGTCCATGCCATCTCACCCTGCATGCTCTTCCCCATCTTCACTACTTGTATCCCCCTTGTCATGTCAGTGTTCGATCAGACTTTCATCTCCTTTGGGGTCTTGTGTTATCCTATCTCAGCTCCTGGCAAGGCTGTGAGTGATCTCACCACCTATATGGCCAGACAGCTGCCAAAAATTAAAAGGAAAGACTGGACGTACATAATTTATGCTTTTCTTAAGAGCAGTTCCAAGGTTTCCCCCAGCGTTTGATGCAGAGCCTGAAACAAGGCAGCCACAAAAAAGTGGAGTAATGCCAATGGCAGTCTTGTTGCTGGAGCAATGCCCCTGGGCCGGGCATTGTCCTGCCAAGCAGAGAAATGCAGCAGGCAGCTCATGGACAAGAACCAACAAAAAGCAATTTACTGGCATGTTCTCATTCATTTCCAGGATTTGATTTAATACATTTTCCTTTTGTCCTGCATATGGAGGAATTTGGGAGTTTTGAGAGTTATCGGAGTTTGTTTGGGCTTTAAGCAAAAGGTTTTTGTTGAAACAGGATTGGCAGCAGCAATGTTCTTCTTCCTCTCCTTAAGCTTGAATTTGGTAAACTTTCATGAAAGATTTAATCTTTTTAAAATCATACTATTAAAAAACTCATAGAAAAAAAATAGAAACCAAAATAATCTGTAGTCAGTTGGATAATTTTTCCCTGCTACATAACTTCATAACTTTGTGTTGGAAGAGGAACTGTTTCATGGAAAAACTTGTAAGGACAATAATTTTTGACTGGTGCTTATTCATCATTTTTTGCCATTCCAAGACTAAGCTCTGGATTCATATTTGGTGAGCCCATTTGGCCTTCAAATGCTTTACAAGCACTCTTTTTCTCCATTTTTTTAATGTGAATGAGATCCTCTGGTGCAGCTGTCACAACAGGCAAAGGCTGTTTACATCGGGGTGGGTTTTTTTTTTGACCAGATTTGTTCAGATAAAGAGACAATGCCCATAACTTCCAGCTCTGGAAGCCTAGGGAAGAAGACAAAAGTCAAGCCACCTCCTCCATTATTTCCATTGTTGTTTAGACTCTTCAAGGTCATTTGCTAGCCTTGATTATATTTCTGTCATTCTTTTGTCTAACTAGGATGGTGCTGGTTTAAGGAAGGGTACTCACTTCTTCATGGACTATCCGTGTGGGTTTTCCTCCTTTGAAATTGGTAGCCAGGTTTTAAACATTGGGGATTCAATCCTGTGAGTAAGAAGATGCTATTCTGGAGTATGGTCCTTCTGCAGAAGAGGAACATACTATAACTATAATGTTTGTCTCTCTTTTTTTTTTTTTAATCTTTCCAAGGAGAATTTGGGCAGAATAGGTTAACTGCTCTGCAGGAAAATGGGTGCTTTTTTTGGTCAACCTCTTCAAATGACCACAGGTTAATTAGAAGGCTCCTGATGGAGAATCACATTATTGTCCATCTAATTTCTTTTAAGTAACCAGCATTATGAGGAATATTAAAAGAAAGTGATGTTTAGCTCTAACTTTTAACTAAACTTCTTCAAACAAGTGTATTAAATACATCCTGATGGTGTTTTCAGATGGGTATTTTTTCCCCCATCCTTTAACTGATGGTATTTTCCCTCTTCATCCTCAGGGATTTTTCTGTTTTGCTCTGGCCTTCTGCGGATTGGTCCCAGCTGCCTGCTGGAGATACACGCACAGCACGGAGGTAAGCATCAGCTGCTAGGAAATACCACCAGCATCTCATCAGATAGGGATTTTTTTTTGTAGCAACTTTCTCCCATAAAAGGGACATCTGGTGTTAATTAAGACATCTAAGCCAAGACCTATCAGATGCATGCTGTGTTCCACCCATCTCTTACAAGAACAGGGCTGCCTTTATCAGCTGCCTCTCCAATGGGGTCACTGAAGGGAGAAGCCATGGAAACCCTCACAGAGGGCAAACACTTTGTCCTGAAGGCAAAACAAAATGCAAGTCTTGTTTTAAATAGCTTTGGGATTTTTTTTCCAAGGGTTGTTTTGGTTTGTTTCAAATGAAATGCTTGCCTTTTGAAAAGTCATTTCCAGCCAGCTCTAATTCCTGATAATGCCACTTGGGAGCCTCTATTCAAAGGTCGTGGTGGATTGTGACGGTTCAGGTTGTCTCTGGCAATATCCAGGGTATGAGTTCATTAACTGGCAGCAGTGGTACAGTAAAAACTCTAGTGTGAAAAATGGTGTTTGGGCTGTTGTCATGCTGGACCAGAAAGATAAGATTGTATGAAGCCAAATATGCAAGAAAGTTGGGGTTTGAATTGTTACCCCTGAGCTTGCTGGTGCTGTAGTAGATGGGTGGTGTAGGAGATGAAGGTTCCAAGGAAGCTGAGTTGAGGCACACAGAGTTGCTTAGGGTCAGCCCTGGGCATTGCAGTGGGTATCCGTATCCAGGGGCTGGGATATCCCTGGGGCCACGGTAGGAGGCTGCTGGGGAGAGCAGAAATTGATCTTCATATTTAGTAGCCAAAATTCTCTGTTTCCTAAATCCAGAGAGAAACAGGGAATATAAATGAGGAAAGATTTAATTAGGCATGTCACTTACAAAACACACGGAGATTCGGTTTTGCTTGAAAGGTAACTTGTCTCACCAGTGATAGAAGTGCAGATGTGAGAGAGAAATGCAGATCTGACTGTCCCTCCAGGACAAAGACAGGTAGTACAGTGCTCCACAGAACTGATGGGAGCAGGGGGAAGACTCCTGAAGTCTCATTATAGAGCTATTTATTTGTCTGACTTTCTCAAAGTAAAGAGCAAACTTAAAGCAGGTGCTCTCGCCAGCCCCCTCCTTCTGACAGTACTGTCAGAAATAGTTACTTGTGGTAGTACAAGGGAAAAAAACCAAACCTGGCCAAATTGACAGTTGTCTTGAAAGCCTGATGGGATTCATGCAGCTACCAAAAAAGGAAGAGAATGTGGGGATGTAAAACTGAATGTGGATGAATATGCCCATTTCACGTGCCTGAATCAGTGCTTCTGAAAGCAACAAGGGGCTACTGTCCCCATGTTCATAGCTAAAACAAATTTGCATTTTCCCATGAAAAACACTTAGACTTTCCAGTGAAAAGAAAATCAGACTGTTCAGTTTGGAAATGCCAGCTCGGAGCTGGCATTGGTAGATCCCTTCGTCTCCCTGCACATGGGTGAGGTGATGAATTTAGGTAGTGCTGAAAGCAGAGCCTTCCCCTCCTTCTGCAAGCAGGGAGATGGGATATGGGAGGTCCCTCCTACACCAAGCCACCACAGATACTCTCAATGGTTTATTCCTCTTGATAACCAAAATTATAAAAATATTTAAATTTTCCACTTCCTTCGAAAGCAGACCCCTCTTACAGAAAATCACCCGAAGTGGAAAAGCCATTTGAAAATTTGTTTTGATGGTTATTTTCAAGAGGCAGTAGATAGAAATGTTACTTGAACATGATGAAAGAAAGATGCCATTTTTGATCTGTGGCTGTTTCAGAGCCCTGCTTACAGCACTTCTGACAGAGCAACTATGCAGGACAGGGAAAAAGGACAAAAAAAAATAAAAAGAGTTATTTTTAAATATTTGATATCCTCAGACCTGGCACTGTAAACAAAGTGTGAATCTTCTCATTTCCCATTCTTTTCTGCTTTTGTGACCTTCTGTAGCTCCTTCAGAATTCTTTCAGACAGATGCCACTTGTTTAAATCTCAAGTTACCTGCATTCAGATAGACTTGGTGTTACATAGTCTTTATTCTGAAAATAACATATACCAGACATGCAGCAGTAAGTAACTAATCTGACATTTATCATGCTTTATCCTAAAATGTTCTCTGTTCAGTATTGTAATTACTCCTCCTCTGTCAACCCATACATGTGGCCAGTGAACGGGTTTTGTGAGATCTAGGTCTCCTCTGTACTGTCTTCTCAGGCTGCTTTGCTTGAAACTTTCTTCAGAGGAACCTGTTTGCTCTTCCCTTCTCCTGCTGGAAGAGGACATTAATCTTTTATGCTTTGTTAGTGAGCAAGGGGATATCTTCTGAGATGGTGATTTTCTAACAGGGCCTGGGGTGCAAAGCTGGAATTAGCAGTTGCAGCTATTTAATAACAACCACTGCTACACTTGAGGCTTTTTCTTGAAAAGAGCAGCTTTCCTGCTCCCTTCCCTGCATATGGGATCAGCGCACTTCTCCTGTCTCAGGATCTTCCTTCTAATGAGCACCTTTGCAAAGCCAGGAGCAGCATTGCCTGGGTCTTCAGGAGGCAAATCCTATCTTTGCATGCACAAAAGCAGCATGTGCATCTCTAGTTTCTGCAGATATGAAAGGAGTGACCCAGCACTTCCCAGTAATTTCTTAAGTGGGATTCTAGAGATCCTTCTAGTGGCAAACCAAGCCTGTGGTTTCTTCAGGGTGTGTTTGTGTCTGTAACTGCTGCCACTGCTGTGTGTAGGAGCAAACTTGTGCAGAGTCCAGTCTGTCTCATCTGAAGTCAATGCTTAAATGCTGGCTTAAGTCATAAAGACTTTAATGGGACTTGAATACGAACTGAAGGTGCATTCAGGTGTTTCCTGAAAGCAGACCCAAAGCATACAGATAGTTTTCCTTTGGTTTACAATTCAGTGGTGCTGGATCAGAATTGTGGCCACTAATGGGGGTCTTATTTTCAAAAAGCTGTGATTTGGCTGTGCTAACACTGTGAATAATCTGATATCCTCCTTGCTCTTGCTGTTATTCTGCCAGGCACAATCACTTTAAGGGAAGCAGAAAGCTTTGTCCAGTCTCTGAAGTCCATGGGAAAGAAAAAGAGAGGGGGAAACCCCTCCCCCTTCCATAGGGTTTTTAAATATTGTGAGTCTTTCCTGGTGTTTATGTTCTCATCACACAGTAACAGCCCACTCCCCCCAGTGAGACACTGCTCGCTTTTGTCTGAGGCGCCACTCAGGCATTTGTACTCATGGGTTTATAATTTATCACTGCCCTGACGCTGAACCCGCATGGCCCCATTTCTGCTGCTTTCTGTGGCACAGTGTTAGCTGGAGGTTCTGTCTCCAGCAGCGTCAGCCCGCAGTACCTGAGACCACTCGGATGGTCACCATCACCATGGCACTGTCCAACCTTCACGCTGCTGTTAGGATGCTTATCACAGCAGAGCAGCCAGCACCAGCTGGAAGGTGACAGTGCTCCCCGAGGGCTAGCTCTGTTGCTGATACAACTGGGTTTTTTAAGCTAAAACTATTTTCAATATCTTTCAGTACTTCCTGTTGGGAAGCGGTCTAAAGTGGCACTGGTTTCAAGTACTGTGGGTGAGAGAATAAGGATTACTGGGATAATTTTCTACGATGTTGGGAGGTTCATAAATTGCTATGTTGTTCATCTTGAATGACAATAGCATAAAGGGTCAGTGTGGGCCCTTTGCAGCCTGTTGGTTTTGCAGTTTTAAAATGGACACCTTCCATATGAAGGCAGGCTAAGAAAATCGGAGCTATTCAGCCTGGAGAAGAGAAGGCTGTGTGGAGACCTCATAGCAGCCCTCCAGTATCTGAAGGGGGCCTACAAGGGTGGTGGAGAGGGACTCTTCGTCAGGGTTTATAGTGATAGGACAAGGGGTCATGGGTTCAAACTTAAACAGGGGAAGTTCAGGTTGGATATAAGGAAGAAGTTCTTTACTGTGAGAGTGGTGAGGCACTGGAACAGGTTGCCCAAAGAAGTGGCAAATGCTCTATCCTTCGCAGTGTTCAAGGCCAGGCTAGACAGAGCCTTGGGCAACATGGTCTAGTGTGTGGTGTCCCTGCCTATGGCTGGGGGGTTGGAGCTAGATGATCATCAGGTCCTTTCCAACCCTAACTATTCTATGATTCTGTGAAATACTTAGTTTGTTAAAAAAAATAATAATAATAAAAAAAAATCCAACAACAAAAAGGCAAACAATTCCTCCCCTCATGCCCAAACCAAAAAAAACAGGAGGACCTTGATATACTGAGGCTGGTGTCGCTTGCAAGGGGTGCAGCCATAGATCTGGAAGATTTAGTGAGAAAAACTCATGAGGGTTGATTAACTTCCTGCCTGGCTTTTCTATACTTCCCTGTAAAGTATTTGGTGCTCTGCCAAAATCACAAAGTGACGCTCCTGGCTGAATCCAGGTATCACAGAGATGGCTCTGATGCACCCCTGCCCACTGTCTGAGTGGGATGTATAGCACCCATGCAGCTAGAATTTTGCTGTTCTTTTTGAGACCTGGAGATGGGAAGTGAGGAGGAGGTGAGAGTGTAATAGCTCAGCACTTTCCTTGTTTTAAATATTTTGTGCAAGGGCCTGATGGAAGTGCTAGGATCAGAAGTAAACAGATTTGTAAGGCTTTTCTTTTCCTGAATTTTTTGTTCTGTGATGGTATTTCTCCTTCCATGTATTCCCTCAGTGACAGACCATAAGATGGTCACGGTTTGCATGGTCCTCTTTCAAAACCAGACAGTGGGGGAAGTCCATATATATATAAAAATGTTTACATATCTATATATAGATATATAATCTTTAGATAGATATTGAAAAGAAAAAGTGAAAACCATTTTGCTAAAGGCCTCATCTGGGTCTTCTCGCTTGAGCAGTTCAATGACCACCACCAGTCGGGGGGAGCAGCACCTTCTTATCTTGTGCAGTTTTCCATGGAAGGCCTCAAAGGCCGCTCGGGTTTGCAGCACTGGGTGTATTTC